CAGTGGTTGGGATTGGAAGAAAGCAGATGTTATGTTGTCATATGCAGCAGAAAATGCAGGAAATTATGAGTGTAGGTCATTTTTACAAATTCTTTGTAGAAAATGCTGAATTGAACTGTAATTACTGTAATATGGATAGAAATTTTATGTAGGAAATGAAAACAAAGTCTGTTTCTAGTAGTTTTCATGGTTAAAAAAAAAAAAGTTACTCAGAAGAGCCAATACAGTAGATCACTTCTCAGCAAGTTTTGCAGCTAGTAGACACTTAGAAATACCAATTTCTAGTATTGAGAAAAATGCACAAAGCTGAATAGTTACATACTTTTCATTAATCTGTTTTCCATATGCACTATAAAGATATTTACCCTTAACATATAAAGTGGTGTTTAGAAGAGGTTATGACTTAGAGGTTATTTACTCTTTTGGTTTTGCCCCTCTTCTGGGGTCTTTCAGCTGCTGCTTTCACAAGTTGTGTTTGGCATTGAAATACTTTTCCTTCATATTTGCCAAGTTAGATGCTTGCCTGGGGCATTTGGCATGCAAGGAGAGCCTAGGGATAGTTGTATGTTGGTAAATGCAGTAGGTGTAAACATGACTTTGCAAACTGAAGAAGCTGGGGCAGAGGGCTTGCAATTTGGCAAGATTTTCTTTAAAGAACATGCTTTTCAAAGCAGATCAGGATTGTAAATGTGAAGTGCCTTCTCCTTTGATGGCTTTTTCAAGAAGAATGCACAATGTGGAATAAGAATAGCAGACTAGAATTACAGTACCCTCTCACCATCCTTCCATATTTATGGTGGTGCATGCTTGGTTTGTAATTCTCTTTTCCCCTGCTGCTTCTTTTCCTTCTCCTGCTTCCTTTTTCCATCTTTGTTTCTGCTCTTAATCACACCTCGCAGTCCTCTTCCTCCACTTCACCTAGTGTTTTGCCTTTCAGCTCCAAGTTATGTACATCATCTTGTGCTGGATGTACATTAGACTTCCGTGTGAAATGTTAAGTTACAGGACACATCATTTTTATGCAAAACATCTTAATTGCAAATGGAAGTTCACTGACTAGATGAAGAACAAAGATGTGGCTGTATGAAAATTAGGAAGTTAGGAAAAGATGAAGTCTTGTATTTTTCTCGCTTTCTAACTAGATTTTTTTTTCACATTTATCTTTAAAACTGCCATTTCAGAGTAGCATTTGTTAGGTTTAATTTTTAATTCTATTTTTAATTTTATTTTTTTCATTGCATTGTTTTGTGTTAAGATTGTTACACTGATGGCTGCTATGTGAAAGCAGAGAAAGATTTAAACTAGGGCAGCTCATATACACTTGTGGTTAATTGGATGATTCAGTTCATTGATGTTGCATCTTCCAGGTTGTACAAAGTCACCTCATCAGCTATGGTTAAAGCAGGTCCAAAATGGTAGTGTGAATAATGACAGCATTTTGGAAGATTTGTACTTACTTGGAGTTTAAAGGCATACACATTAGGATAAGTGAGCTGTTAAGGAGGGAAAAGGGAGTTTGGCAGTTTACATTTCTTTCAAATCTCAATGTAAACTTTTTTTGTTTGATTATTAGAAACTACCTCTATGCTGTTGTAAGCAATCAGATTTAAGTGCCATTTCTGGTCTGTTTGGAGACTGGTGCTCCGGTTCTGGCAAATGATTAAATGGTGGGTGGGGGGGTTGTGGTTTTGTTTGCTGTGGGTTTTTTGTAACTTTGATCTTTAAATAGATAGAAATGACTTTATATCACTGTGGCTATTTTGTTTCTGTTCCACCTTCTTTGATATTCTAAGGCAACTGAATCTTCTGTTACTCAGACTTGCTAGGCAATATGTGAACTAAAGCACCAGTTTTGGGTTCTCATTAAATGGTTTTCATTATTTCACTAGTGTGACTGTGCTGATGAAAAGATGTTATGATTGCATCATCTTGCTCTTCTGCAGAGATCAGCTGAAGCAGGTTCAGGTTCTTGGCTTCCTCTGGAGAAAGCTAAAAACTGATACTGGACCAGAACGCCTTGACTATGTTTTCCTGCATTACCAGTTTCTGCCCAAATGTTTCCTGAAATCTAATATTAGGATCTGAAAGACTTGTTCTCTTATTTCAGTTTTTGAAGTAATTGTGAATGTTGTTCATACATGGCTGAAAGTCCAATGTCAGTCTTCCCTTTGCCTCCATCAGGGCTGAAAGCCTTCTTAGGCTGGTTGCTAATTTTGCTTAGAGCAGCATGTCTGAATCTCCTCTTCTGACGTATGAGATTACAGTTTTCTCCTCAGAATCCTATTCCCTTCTTTTTACAGAAGCATTAGCAGTTTTGTCTCTCTAGCCTTTCCTCAAACATAACTGTGTTGTAAACTGGAGTTTTCACAATCCTTGTAGCAACAAAAATTTCCATGAGAGAATTTCTGAGTAAAATAATCATGATACTCAAAGGGGTGTTTTTATTTTCTTGATGGGTTAGGCACAGGATTTTCTGAAAATGATTTATTACTTGCTTTTAGCAAAGATTATTCCAGATGGTTTTAAGTTTCCTTAAAATTTTCCTGTACCCCTAAATTTAATTCAAGGAAGATGTGTGGTCAGTGAACTAGGGGAATCTGGTTGGGAAGGCCGGGCAGTTAGGACTTCAAGGTGTACTGTGCGTGGAGTGCACCATCTTCTTAGAGCAGCTGGAGTGTGTGCCGTGGAACCAGGACTGGGGGATGTAGCACAGAGCACCACTGAAAACACTGCCTTGCAGATCTACAACTTCTCTTGTGAGTTGTGGAAAGAACCTAGCTACTTACGAATAGTTCCTGTTGAGAAGATTGCTACCAGGGTGGTTTAGTAAAAAACCTTGAATAGTGTGGCTACCTACACAAAGGTGATTCCTCCTGAGATGTGCATGTGTGAGACCTTTACGGCTGACTGGATTTATCATTTAATAGTTGCCTGTTTAACTAATTCAAGATTTTGGCCTTCCAGACACGCCAAAGTAGAAAATGCATGCGGTGACACTTGCTTACTTGGAAGTTCAAAGAACTTCCTCAACTGGCACAGTTAAGCAGGGCTTCAAAACAGTTAGCAGTTAGCTTTCATACAGAGTATTTTTCTAAGGATTTATGCTTTCTTGCAGAGGAAGAATTGAAATTACTTCAGACTAATGTATTTTGTAGTGGGGAGAAATTAATAGCTTAGTCTTAGTTTTTTCTTTCTCTAGTTCCTTATAAATCTCCCCCTACATTTTTGAATCTGTTTTCTCCTGGCAGAGTGTGCCATAGTTCAAAATAGGCATCATTGACTGGGAAGATTATCAAGTTGGAATGAAATTCCTCTTGACTTCATGCTAATCAAATAACCATTGATTATTTGAATCTGCCTTTTATGTTAATCTTAACATGGGTAAATCAGTTTATCATGTGAAGAAAACTGAAGCTGGAAAGTCTTTGAAATAGAAATAGCTCAACAGAAGAATTCCATGCTTAATAAATCCAAAAGGTGTTTCCCAATGTATAGTGAAGATATAGACCCTATAGAGAGCTCTTCTATCGCTTGTAAACATAAGTAGTTAGAAATTGTGTATCATGTATGGTATTAGCAGAATTTCATCACTGGCAGCATCAGAACTTAAGGCAATAAGAAATCAGGTTGTAATAATGCATTTTGAAGAGATGAATCATGTCAGGCATTCCAAATTTGGTGACAGATCATTTCGACAGAGCTTTTGTTTGCATATAGTAAACATATGATACGTCTTTTCCCTCTCCTCAAAGCCCTGCCAGTGTGAGAATTGTCTTTAGGACCCCCTTAAAGGCTTAGTTTTACCCAAATGAAAGGTCACAGAGCAGATAATCTCAGTTCTTGGGCTTTTTGCACCTGTTCCCATCTGACTGCACACAAAAATCTAATCTTTTTAGGATTTACCATGTTGGCATTTGTAAAGGACATATGGGGCTGATAACTCTTAAACTTTTTTCCATGTTAATTGTTCAAAGATTTTGATAATTATGTTGCTTTCCTAACCCTTTGTCTGTCCTGAGGAACCTAGTTTACTCTAATCCATAAATCAGTAGCAGTTCAACAGCAAATGATCACCTTTTCTACAAAACAGACCCCTACTTTTCATAGCAAGTTAAAGGAACTAGAAGTTGACATAATTCAAGACTTTTTCTAGAAAGTATACTTAAAAACCTGGAGATAATAGGACCTCCCCCAATATTATTTCCATCACCTAAAGGAAAATGTTGGGGGTCCCTCCAGTCTGAACAGCCAAGGGACAGCAATTGATCCAGAAGATAAATCTTGTTTTGATAGTCCTCTAGGTTTTTGAGTAACACTTAGCATTCACAGTCGCTTAAAAGATCCCTCTATCCTCTCTAAAGAGATGGTTACAAATGGCTTCATATGTAAAATAATAGAATGCTAAAATTTGTGCTGATGAAAATACAGTAATGCAATTACTTCAAAAGGTTGGATACAATTGGAGATTTCTGGTGGCTTTTGATGACATGTTTTATAAGCATACAGGTTCCAGTGTAGCTTTCGCTTTTTCTTGTTGTGAAGTCAATTTCTTTATAGGCACATAGGCCAAGCTGTCTCAAGATCTGTAATATACTGCCCTGGTGATTGTTCTGTCAAAAGGTTATACTACTAAAGAGGAAAGCACAGATGACAACTGGATCAAAATGTTAAGAATCATAATTGAAAGATACTCTATAACATCAAATTGTTATTTGTTTACCTGTACAATAATACTGTGTTACTGGTCATCAGGGTTTTTTTATTCCTTACAAATCTAACAATACTTTAATATTTGATACTGCAATACAGTCATTTGGTTATTGCCCGTTTTTCAAGTCCTGGGAAATTTGTCTGAAATTTCCTCCTCCTGCTCATTTCATCAGTTCCTTTCTAATAAGTGTATCACTTCTGAGACCTCTTCTGAATGTTCAATTTGTATCCCTTTTCCGCCTGTGTTCCCTGGATTTGCTTTTGCAAAATGAAGGAGTTTTGTCTTTCAGAGCGGGAAGGTCACAGGAAGTGATTCAGGAGGTGTCATTGATCTTACACTGGATGAAGAAGATGATAGCGCTTCTTCAGGTAGGTGAAAAAGATTTTGCTAGCTGCAAGAGTAATGGAATTGCGAGTATTATTTCATCCCATGAATGACAGAAAGAAATAAACTTCTGTTTCTGCTTAGTGTATTTTATTCCTTGGTGTTCCAGTTGAACAGGACTGTTGTTAAAGAATTTTGATAGCCATTAAATAAAACAAATTATACTTACTGTAAAACAGTCATTAAGATTTTCACCTTTCCCTTAATGTAAGCATTGTTGCTGTCTATGCGTAAATCTGCTAGACTTGGGAAATAATTTGAGATGTTCGAATTCTTGATTATATTTTGGAAAGTTTTTCTAGATGTGTTTAATTTTTCTGTTTACTGATTAATTACAGACCTTTTAATTTTACAGTTGATATTCAGGCATTAGATTATTACAGCTTCTGATCTTTTGTTTAACTAAAAGACTTTGTGAAAGTTTAAATAACAAATGCAGATCTGTTCTTTTCTTTGGGACTGTATGACAAGTTTAGAGGAAATAAGTTCTGCTCTTACATCCTTTGGCAGTTTGCACTTCATTTTTTATAACAATACATTTTTTGGTAAGTCTTGCATAACTGTAGACAGGTCTATTTATAATTAGCATTGGATTACTGAAGAATTATCGTATTTCAAAGAAGTAATAAGTCTGTACTTAAGATCATGTATTGTTCTGTCATTTTAGCTGAAAAAAATGGTTTTTCTACTATTAGAGATAAAATTTTAATTCTGCATGGTCTCTAAATACATGCCCCTGTGCTTGCTGCATTGTGAAGTGCAGCCACCAAGAAGTTTGATTCCTCTAGACAACCTCAGTAGCTATCTCTCTAGGTAGTGCATTGCTCTGTATTTGTATTACACAAGTGTAGAAAATCATACTGCATGTGGTAGCATTTCTTTCAGTGAGGAAGAAATGTAATATTACCACCAAAAGGGGAAGGTATGTGGTATACAAGTGTTAGAGAAGCATGATGCAATTCAGGTAACTGACAGTCTGGTTCTTGGAGGATATATGATAGACACTGAATTGGGCAATGAGCCAACAGTGTGTTCTCATTTAAATTTAAGTTAGTATTCCCCCCACGTTGACACTAGTGGGACCACACCTGAAATACAGTGTCCAGTTTTGGCTCCCCCTTCTTTGAGTTCATAAGACTGGTGGTAGCACTGGAGAGGGCCCAATGGATGGTGTCAGGATGGTGGGGGCCTAGAGTACATGATCTGTGAGAAGAGATTGACGGGCATGTTGGGCAAAGAGCAAACTGAGAGATAGTGTAAGAGCAGCCTGCAACTACCTGGAGGATAGTTACAAAGACTATGGAGCACAACTCTTCTCAGCAGTGCCACAGGGTATATCAAGAGGCGGTGGCTGTGAACTACAAGTTCAGGAGGTTCAAGTTGAGCTTGAGGGGGAACGAAATCACTGTAGAAAGGTAGTGCAGCACAGAAGGATGGTAGAAACTCCACTCCTGAGTGCTGTCAGAATTCAGCTGGGCAACACAGCAATTCATTTGAATAGGGTTGGTGACAGTGCAGCTTTGACTATGTGGCCACCAGAGGTCCTTTCAGCCAGGATTTTGGTGATTCTGTGAATCGCTTAGCTGAGTGCCAGAATAGCAGAGGGAATCAAGTTTTTTCCACTGTAATCTCTTGCAAGGGTTAGTTCCCAAAAAGATAAAAAAGGCAACTGCACTTGGACTGTGGAAGTCTGTCAGGAAAGGTTAAGCTACCCAGTCCTATTTAATATTCTGTAAAAGACACCAACAGATCTAAATGGATTTATAGTATGTTTTAAAGGAGCATGTGACAGTATTGTAATGTATTTCAGCTAATCTTTTTCTGTCAAAAGTAACATTTTTCAGAGAGTTTTTTCCTCCCTGATTGTAATAAGTATGTCTTCACCTCGCAGTTACCATAAAAGATCAACACCATGGTTGCATGTGCAACTATAAGAATGCATCTCTAAGTAGAAGTGCTAGCAGCCACAGCAGAATTGTAGCTGCATTATAGTATAATAAGTTAATTTGTTCTCGGTTTCTTTTCTGGGGCTTGAGCAAGTATCTTACAATTTTCTCCTGTGGGATGTTCTGAGGTTCTTTCCCCTTAGTTGTCAGGTTTTAGAAAATCATCCTTTCATTAGGAGGAAGGTTAGTGGGGTACTTTTGGGCTGGGTTAGGCTTTTGCATGTCTCTCCATGGCAAATCAGACTCTCACTGATAAACTAATCCACAAGGCTGCAGACTATGTTTAGACTTTGTGTGAGGAGTCAGTATTTTTGATACAAACTGTAGAAATGTATAAACTAAAACCCTAATAAAAGCTTAAGTTTCACCATGCACTGGAAACACATATCTAGGATTCTGAGCAGGTTTCTTGGGAAATAATTCACATGTTCTGGTAATAACATTCAGGTTGAAAAGAGGAAGAGTACATTTCTGACAGCTTTTGCATAATCATATGCATATGTATACCTTTGGCCAAATATTTTTTCCACTGCACTTTGTTTACAGCAAATGTGGAGCAAGTTTCATTTTGTTCTAGATTTATTGGTACACAACCTCAGGATAGAAAGTACATCCACATTACAGTGTTTACTGCAGTATGCTGGAATATCAGTTCAGTACTAATTCACATAGAAGAGCAACACTTACATAGTGTTCTTGGGAACACTCGAATCCTGATTATTTTGTTTAAAGCCCTCTCGCCCGCATACTAAGTAAACCTAATTCTGCTACTTTAACATCTATTTAAGTATCTTTTAATATCTGGAGAGAGATGTCTATTACATGCTTCTCTGTAAATCTCTCCTGGTGCAACTAGGAAACAAAGTTACACAGTTTTGGTAGTATACAACTACCATGTGCACCCTTGTTGGTTGAAATTACTAAAGATTAGAGTTGAGAATAAATTTTAACATTGTGGTAGATTTTTAGACTTGTTCATGTAATCTGCTCTCCATCCCTTACTTTTTCCAATGAAGGTTCCACTTGGATCATTAATTAATATCTGTAATACTGTATACCAAAGTATGCATATAAGGTAAATTAAACTTAAATTTTAGGTTAAGAACTGTGGAGTTTTTAGGGGTTTTGTTTTGTGAGGTTATTAAACTGAAATCAGAGTTTCTGTTTTGGGTCACGGAAGAACAGGCCTGTATAAACTGTCACCAAGCCCAGTCCTCGGTCATGGTGGATAGACAAAACCCTGGGCATTACTTTTAAGGGATAATCATGGGTTTTGGGGTGTGTGGAGGTTTGGTTTGGGGCTTTTTTTAGTGTCATAGTGACTAGGACCCCTAATCAAGAGTTTGAGCCACTGACTTTGGACACATTACTCCTACAAAGCAGAGTAGCTGTCCTTCAACACCTGTTGGTTTGGCATTTTGAAACCTTACTCTGTTAACACAGAAACACATTGTCTCTTAACTTCCAACTCCTTTTTTACATACAGAAGTTTGCATTCAAACAACGCTTCATGTAGGGAAAAAAAAAAGGTATTGCCATCACAGTGTGGAAACACTCACCTGATACAGCCTAGATTTGTATTTCCTCTCTTTATCAGACAAGCAGTGCTCAGACATTTCATAATTAACAATATTGCAGGTTTTCCTGATCATCTTCACTGCCACACATGATTTCCCACATTAATAGAAGTTCTTATCAATTCCTAAATGGCTGGTGTTGCACTCTCTACTACCATCTTCTTTTTTCTAGTTCTCAAGTCTTAGCTTTGTTCCTGTGCAACATTTTGGTTCGCTTCCATACTGGTGGCATCTTCCAGTTTAGAGTACCAGCAACTAAATTTAGTGCACACCTGATGTGTGCAAAAATTATTAACAAAAATGTTGTGTAACGTTTGAGAAAATACGTTGTTAATTTCTGTTCAGAACAATTGTTGTCATCCTTTTATCAGAGACTTTCTGTCTGCAAGTATCTTGCAATATTTGTACAGTCCTCTTGCTGTCCTTCTTATTAAATATTTCTGTAGTGCACTGCATCAAATTATTTCATAAAAATACTAAAACAACTAATAGATTTAGCTGATACCTATCCCTAGTCTAAAGTGGATTTGTAATCTAAGAAAGACACAAGCGTACTCTCAAAGCCATGTTCCACTTTTTTTGCATATATGTTTTTGTAGGAAAAATATTAAATACAGTATCAATTTGTTATTTTATAAGCTGTTTGATTAACAAATCTGTAGTTTTCTGGATCATTTTTTGTCTTATTCTGGAACATGCATATGGCATATTTGCTGTCTGTAATCCCATTATACCACATCTGAATTAGTATGCTGATTGAAGCTCCTGCTATAACTGCAGTGTTGCAGGCCCATTTTATCACATGGAAATTAGCCCCTCTTCTTTTCCATTTTGTGTATTAGATTTGGAGTTTTGCTTACACCACCAGTAGTAATGACTTCCATTTTATGCTCATTTCCATAAATCTGATTGTCCTGTCTCCTCCAGTTTCACGTTTTTAATGAATATGATGCTGTGTTCCTTCAGCGTTGGAGCCATTCCTGCATTACTTTTAACCTTAGTCCTACACTTTCTATGCACCCAGTCTTCTGTTTTCCTCGCTAAACATCTCACCTTTTGTTTTCAAACTGAGCATCCCTTTACTGCTCCTTTTATAGACTTTGAAAAAAGAAAAGAAAATCGTATTTTCCTCAGATGACTTCAGTAGAGTAGCTCAGCTATTCAGTCTACAGAATGACAATATGGTCTACAATTTATATTGTATTTTATTTTTGAGGTCTTGAATTGTATTGAATTATCATATAGCGGTTTGTGAAGGGTACTGCTATTTCAAGCTATTAGTAACTGGTGTTAAAGACAGCTTGGTGAGACCATCAAAATAGTCTCCAACTGCTAAAAACCCAACATTTTGAGGTACACTGCCATTAACCCTGTTCTTAATGCTTTGAAAGCTAGTTAGTATACTTAACTCATAGTTTCTAAATGTGTTTTTCAATATATTGTTAATACATTTTTTCAAGAGTAAAATATGTATTAACATACTCTTTATTTTAATATTGTGCACTCTTTTCCTAAATTAGGTGCTGCTACATGTACAATTCTATTAGGGCAAATCTTTTTTGAATGAGTGCCCTTAAAACCTACTCATGTATCTTGTGTTTTTTTAGTTTTTGGTGGTGCTTTTGCTCCCCACTACCACTCTAATGTAGGTGAAATACCCAGGCAAAAGCTTCTCAATTCTTCTTTATTCAACTTTTGCACAGGCTTGATTACAGACAGACTTGCACTCAAATGAGTATTTTATGTTGTCACAAATAAACTAAAGCAGGAAAAGATACTGCTGTAGTAAACTACAGATACAGACACTGTCATTTCTCATAAATCAGTAAGTTATGTTGAGGAGGGTGTCAATGTGAGAAAACTACTTATATTCTCTTTTTAAAGTTTTCTATAAATAATAAAGCAATTCCCTTTTTTTTAAGAAAATAGCATGAAAATTCAAAACAGCAACAAACAGGGCTGACTAACAGATTGAACAAAGGAAAGAGTCAGCAAATAACAAAAGGATGTATGCATCAAAGGTAGACAAGATTTATTTAGGGAGGTCTGTCACTTTCTTGAAACAAAGCAAGTACAGCAATGTTTAGGCCTTTTTAAGGTTTCAGGCTATTCTTTTTTTAATAGAAACTTTTTAAAGACTTTGGCATAGTGTTCCATTAAATTCAGGTTTCCAAATTATGCTGAAGTACACCGACTTCATGATGATAGAATGAAATGTTACGGCGTGTGAGAAGAAAAAAGATTGAGATTATGAAAGTGAGGGGAATTGAATGAATTTTCTACAGTTTTGATTGCAGAATGAAAAGATCAAAGAAATGTCACGCTATGAAATATTCTTTGCTAATCTGTGAATGACAGGGGGGAAAAAAAGGTTCTACAACTCTGTGATGTTCTCATTTCTGTTTGCTACTGTCTGTAACTTTATTTTGTTTCAAAGCAGATGGCAAGAAGCAGAACCAGGCACCTGTTGCAGGACTGAGCATACCCACCCAGCCTTTGGCTCGACCCTTGCAGCCTTTGCAGCCAAACCCTGTGCAGCAGACAGGTGTGCCAACAAGCGGGCCTTCCCAGACCACCATACATGTATTACCTACAGGTAACCTCTTTTTACATCGTTGTGTGAATGCAGTGGCTGCTTTTTTTCTTAAACCAGACTCATGTGTTCTACATTGTGCTGACCTTTTCAGGTGAATATTCAGAATCTCTGAGTTGCTTTTTAATCTTCCATTCTAGTCAGTTTCCCATAATTTTTCTTCTTTAAAACGGATTAAGTGAAAGGGAAAGGTAGTCCTGTTCGTTTGGAAAGAAAGAATTCAGGATCAAATTAATTCCATGGAGAGGAAGAAATCCTGCTAAGGATGGTCATGGAAATTACTAAATACACTGTTGTTTGTAAAAGTGAAGGAGAAGAAACCTGTAGCAGTTGCATTATTTAAGTAATGGGGAAAAAAAAACATTAGCAGCATCACTCCTAGCTCTGTCCACCTGCTCTTGGCAATTAATCCTTTTGGCAGAGTGAATGGCAAGGCTGATACTGAATGTTCTATCCCTAGTTAAATGTTACTTTGTCTACCTTGTGATTTCCCCCCCCCCCCTTTTTTATTTCTAACATGAAGAAACATGATCCTCTTTTTTTTTTTTTTTCTTTATTTTACTCTCCTTCTGTAGATGATTGTTGAAGATTAGTTAGCACTGGAATTGCCTTATGAGTGATTTGTTTCTACAGCCTCTTTGGTGGTGGGCTTTATATTCTTCACATTCTCTGTGCTTACATTCAGGACCTTTGTGGGGGTATGGGGGGTGTGGGGAGGAGGAGTGGGTATTATTTTTGTCTTTTCTGTTTCGAGTTTATATATATTGACATTATTATTTCAGGTGAAAAATACTGTTTGTTTAGGTTGTTTTCTCTTTTTTTTGCATTATCAAAAGCAGATAAAATTTCACAGAAACAGTTTTTATTTTACATGGCTCAGATGAGTCAGTATTCCAAAGGAGGTGTGTATTCTGGAATAGTCATATCAGCTTAATGTCATGGAATTCCATTCTAGTTTGTGGTCTGACTGTCTTTTTTCAGCTCCGACAACAGTGAATGTAACTCACCGGCCAGTGACTCAGACTCCTGCAAAACTTCCTATCCCAAGAGCCCCTTCTAACCATCAGGTGGTCTATACCTCTCTTCCTGCACCACCAGCTCAGAATCCTGTAAGAGGAGCTGTCATGCCAAGCCCAAGTTTAAGGCCAGTCAACCCTCAGGCTGGAGGTAGGGGCTGCATTCTTCATGCATGACACAACTTGATATCCTCTAGTTGGTGGATGTGGGGTTTGATTTTCTATTTTGGTTTTGTTGTTTGGTTTTTTTGCAATACTAGTGTAAATTATAGAGGTTAGGGTTTTTCTCGCGCTTACAGACTTGAGAAAATCTCAGGCTATTAACTTGTTCCTTCTGCAGCTACGTGAATAAGGAAAAACTGGATTTAAGTAATCTCAGGTACTATAAGGTAGTGGAATATAATGCAACGAGCACCACAGTTTTGTAAAAAGATAATTAGAGACCATTTTGTTATTATGGAATAAGATTAAAACATAGAAGTATGTAGTAAATCATGTTTGATTTCCTGTCTAAAAGTTGCATTTATATCAGGCATCCTAATGTAATTCCTTAATGACCTCTGATGTCCTGTGCCCAGCAAGTTTTCTTATTTTCTCTGGGCCTGGGCAGGTGAGATTTCTCACCAAATGTATCAGAAACTGATGCATGCTTGAGTTTCCAGGAATTGAGATGTCAATCAAGTTCATCTTGATTTTGCAAACGTGTAGCTGGTACCTTCCCATAGCAGTAAACTAATTCTCTGAAATGAGTAGTAGATGTCAAAAATTAAGACCTTAAAGTTAAATGATAGTTTATATTTTGTTACAAAGTGGTGGATCTTAACTGCCTGGGTTTTAGCTCCCCACAATTTCTATGCTGTGGTAATTATAACACAATTATGTTAAACATAAATTTCCCTCTCTTAGCGCACTGAGCATGAGCCTTCTTTTGTGACATCCATGTAGTGATTTTTTTAGACACCGTCTGTATCAGCCAGAATTGGGACACTGCATGCTTGAGCCACGTAAGAGTCTGTACTTCTGCTAGCTGAACAGAAGTTGATCAGACAGTTCTTGAGCTACCTCCATGAAATGTCAGGGTGTGAGAAAACTGCTGCTCTTTTTGACTTGTTTCTATTTCTTAAACTTCTTATACTCTTGTGCCATGTGCATTTGAGTTCGGGTTCTTTGAGGGGCATGTCTGCATCTTCCATTCCTGTTGGCAAAAGGCCATAAAGGCAAGGTAACCTCAGCCCACACTTAGTTTTCTTCATTACCCATAGCTACAGGTTAGTTGTGTGCAATCTACCTGTTGTTTTGGAAGGAGTTTTGAGTACTTAACCGTGCATTCGCTTACATTAATTTTAAGAGTATTTTTTTCTTTTGTACCAGAATATAAAATACATGGTTTTGTCAGAATCTACCACTTCTTATAGCAGTTATTTTGACTAAATACACATCAGTAGTATTAATATCTGCAGAATAATTTTTAGCATTAGACACGTAAGATAATGAATGCGTTGTTGAAAAACGTATAGTAGATAATATGCTATTTTAAGGCCTTTTCTAGGAGACCTCAATGAGGTAGGGAATCTATATGTTTGTCGGGCAAGGTCATCCAACAACAGATCTCTGTGTAATGTGCTTATGACCTGATGGTCCAGCAATACAATGAATGCTTATCCTTCAGTTGTCTGCTTACAAATTCTCAGAAATCAAGGCAGGTTTCCACCAAAATAATTAAGATTCAGCTTGACCAGGCCCTGAATAACCTAATCCAAGAGCATTCTTTCAACAGAAGGTTGAGCCAGATCATCTCCAAAGGTTCCTTCAAACCTGGACTTTTCTGTGATTCCGTTAAGAGGCAGTTCTGTTACTCTGGCTTGAGAAGTATGTCTGTGTATTATGCAGTACTATTGTCTGACAAGCCACATAAGACAAGAAAACGACAGTTTCTCCATAGCACTGTGCATTCACTGTATCCCAGGATAAGGAAGCCAGATGGTTAGCCTGAGTAAAGAAGAGACCAATTTAGTTAGAATACAGATTATTTCAAGACTTCGTATTTGCATACCAGCTAGATGGGTTTCACGTATTGCTAACAAAAAAGCAATCATGTTTATTGATCCCTTTTAGCTGTCATGCATTTTCATCTTTTAGTCCATTCTGCATTTTTCACCGTCTTGGTTAAACAGCTTTCAGAAATGCTGCTACTGATGTGCATTGGTTCATGTTATCATTGAAACAGTCTTTAATGTTAGTAGCGGATACTTCAGGAGTAAGATTTCTGCCCTTTGTCTTTGAAAGATTATCTGTGAGAACTCATCCAAAGTGTTTTGCAAATTATAGTTTTGTACTTCTAAGTAGTATGCCTACCTAGAAATAGTGCTAAATGTTTACCTTATATCTTATTAAGGCATTTCTGTCCATCTTTCTTCAGATTATTGTAATTTCCTGAGATGGAATCAGTCATGCTAAAGCAGCCTATCTGATTAGATTCTCATAGATGAGAAATAGCCAGTTCAGGTGACTGTTTATCCTACAGAAGTTTGCCCAGCTTCATTAGCTAGCTTCTTAGATAGATGTCCCAGAAGGAAAAGGATGTGAAGCAGCTACCCAGAGTTCAACGCTTTATTATAAAAACATTAAGATTTAGCACTCTGAGCTCCTTGCCTCGGGCTCACAGTTTATATAGACTTCTGACACGCATCACCTATGATCGTAGCTTGATGACTGTTTATGTAGAGAAGAAATCACTATACAGTAGCAGTGGTTTCCTGACGCGTTGCTCCACGAGCTTCTCTTCAGGAGTGTTTGAACGCTTCAGCCTTCAAGCATGGAACTAGGGCGGTGGTGGAGATTGCCCCAAATCTTGTATTTCTGGACAGAAATAGAGTGACGCCCTAGGCAACCCATAACAATGCGCAAAAGCTTTGAGCTCACAGAACATACGTGTTCCAACAGTAAACAGATAAAATACTACTTGAGAGAGTGAGATGTAGTATAAAACTGATGAGAACTTGGTAGTTTTCAGGAGTTTCGGATATTATCTACAAAGCTATAAAAATACATAGTCTATTCCTGCCAGTCAGGTCAGTTTGCTGTAGGAATGAGTGAAGTGGTGATGCCTGTGAGTAACATCCATCGTGGTGTCCATTCTGTGAGGGAGGACAAGCTTTTTGGACAGTGACTGTTTCGGTTTTGGTGCCAACCACAGCACAGCCTTCTGGCATTTGACTGCTGAGTGCGTATCATTCTGCTGCAGCAGCAGCATTTCTCTCTTCCTTTTTGAATCCCAAAGTCATGGCACTTTTCTTCTCATACTTAAGATCCCTGTATCTCCCACACTCCCCTCCCCACCCATTTCTTTCATGCTACAGATTATTAAAACATCAGTCTGTCCCCCTCTGCAGACATAATCACTTGCTCTCTTTCTCAGCTTCAGGGGATGAGAGGTGGTTTTGTTGTTGTGCGGTACTTCATCTGTATTGCTGGTAGTTTGAGGAGCGTCAGTTTGAAGTTTGGTGTCTTCCAGCTGAACCAAGGAGTTGGTGTTCCAGTGTTCTGTTTAGCTGATTACAAGTATTGAATACTACTGTGCTTCTTATAGGTATGACAGTACGAATGCCTCAAACAACTACGTATGTTGTGAACAACGGACTAACTCTTGGGTCTGGAGCACCTCAGCTTACAGTGCATCATCGGCCACCACAAGCACATGCTGTGAGTAGTCCTTTTGAAATAACTTAATGCAATCTACAGGCTTGTCTCTGCATTAATGTCTTTCAGATTGCTTCTTAGTGTGAACTGCTGAATAGCGAAATGCCTTGTAGACACTTTGCAGCCAGTTCCCCTGCATAGCACCACCCTATCACCTACAGCAACTTCTGCCAAGAATGGTAAAAGCTGTGCAATCCGTTAGCTTACCTCGGAGTTCTCCAGATCACCAGTAGCATGTCCTGAAAAACAGTGCATGAACTGTCTGCAGCTGACAGATGGAGTCAAGGGTACAGAAGAACTTCCACTAAAAAGTTTAGTCATGGTTTGGCTACAAATTGAATGACCAGTTTCTCGGTACAGCTGTTTGCAAAACTGAGGTAGGAGAACAAGGTACAGACAGGATCCTCAAGGTTGCCAACTCCCAAATTTCAGAGGGTTTTCTTATCACTGTTGGGGGTGATTACTTCTGCATCACCTCAAACTCCTTTCTGTCAGTATTTGAGAATTTACTCTGACTCATTTCATATGGTTTTATTGTTGAGACCGAACCAAACACCTTGCCTGCATACTCGCTGCTGCGCAGTCACATCACTCGTGACCTCCTGCAGTGGTAAACATACTGCCAACAAGGTGGCTCGCCGGTCTTTCGGTCTAGACACCATTCACCTTAATACATTCTCCAGTGATAAGTAATGAGAATAAATCAAGCCAGTATCACACCGAACACTTCAGGTGACAAAAGCTATCCCAGATTCCAGCCTGAAAGGTGACTGGCTTGAAGAATAACAAAATTTTGTACTCATTGTAACCACATTACTAAATTGTGATCAATTTAAGGTGCTAAAATCCATGTGGCACTGTTACCCATTCTTCCTTTTGTGACTGCAAGCCTGCCTGTTGAAAAGATGATGAGTTGTCAGCTTAATTCACTGCCTGGGGTGTTTTGGGTAACGTGGGAACAGCAGCTCTAATGTAGATCAGCTCAAAGGCATTGTGAACCTGCCTGCTCAGTCTTGGTAAAGGGCAGAGCGTTCGGTCTACCACCTCTTGGGTGGAAAGCAAAGAGGATATAGGGAAATAACTGTGGCAGTGATCATCTGTACAGCTAGGGATTTATATGCAAATAATAAGAACGTAGGCCCTCCTGGGTCCCACCCCTTCTCAGCGTTTGCTGCTGCTCTCTTGCCTCTGCACACAGGACATAGAGTTGTGATGGCTGGGTGACTGCAGGCTCATTTGCTTCCCTTTGCGTGGGCAATGATGAATTAAAGTCTCCTGCCACTGCTGTAGACTCTGACCTTTCCCTTACTGCTCTCACGTTGCTTAGGAGCCACCGCGCCCTGTACACCCTGCCCCGCTCCCGGAGGCACTGCAGCCACCACGTCTGCCCCCTGAAGCTGCCAACACTTCTCTGCCTCAAAAGCCACAGCTGAAGCTGGCACGGGTACAGAGCCAGAACGGTATCGTGCTGTCGTGGAGTGTCATGGAGGTGGACCGGAGCTGTGCCACTGTGGACAGTTACCATCTCTACGCCTACCACGAGGACCCGAGTGCCACTATGCCCTCCCAGTGGAAGAAGATTGGGGAAGTGAAGGCCCTCCCACTGCCCATGGCATGCACTCTTACACAGTTTGTGTCTGGCAGCAAATACTACTTCGCAGTCCGGGCTAAGGACATCTATGGACGTTTTGGACCCTTCTGTGACCCCCAGTCCACAGATGTGATCTCTTCCCAGAGCAGTTAAACTAGAGATCTTTGGAGCCTTTAAACCTGTCCTACTGCCAGGAATTACCCCAGTTTTGGGGGGAGTTGATCCCATGCATGAAATTCAGTTATAAATCCACTCTCTGCAGGATCATTTTAGACAGTTGTGTGATACACTACGTGCATTCAGAACCAAAAGAAAAATAAAGTCTCACCTGCAGCAAGAGAGCCTGTTTTTTCTGGATAGCTCAAGTCATGGGCCGTTTAAAAATTTCATTTTCCCTTCCATGACAGCTGTTCCACCTAGATACCTACCTACCCTTTATCCAAGGGCACCCTAGATGCCTGGGATTTTGCTTCAGAGTGGGAACAAAATAATGAATTACAGTTTGTCTGAAGCAAAACATACACATCTGTATTATCTATCAAGACACCAACATGAGGGCAAGAACAGATTTGCCTCTTGCCCCCACCACTCTGTGGGCAGGCTGTGACAGGAAGGGTGACTCGAGGCCTCACTTTTGTACTGGAAGATTGAGTGGTCTGGTCATATTTTACAAACTGTAATGAGCTCCTTGAGGGGAGGGAAGGGAACTTGAGTCTGGCCAGGGAACCAATATGTGTGTAAATTTGGAGGGAGGGGGGAGGTGGGTGGGGAGGGGAAAAAAACAAAACCAACAAACACCCCACTACCTCCTACCTCTCCTAAAAATGCTCCTCTACTTTTCACCATCCTCCCCCACGCACACTGGGAGCATTCCCAGGTCGGATCTGAAACTGGACTGTAGAGACTGCATTCACACCTCTCCAGCTCAGATAATTTCTCTGCCCCTCCTCTCATACATCCAGCCCTATTTTTTAGATTTATTTTGTGCCTTAAAGAATAATTTCAGAAATAAAATGTAGCCAGATACTTTGTGGTGTTCTTTTATTTGCTTTGAGTTATTTTTCCTTTACCCTTCTAGCCTTTCATTACTGCTTCTCATTTTCCTGGCCTGCAGTAATTATTATTTCTGTAAAGACCAGGAAGTGTAACATCTGCTGATGCTGGTTTCGTTTTTATCTGCAGTTTCACTCAACCCTTTCCTCACTGTAATTCTTGAGTAGTAGTTTTTTGTCCTGTCGAGAATACTAGAGTGTACAGATAGTATTTTCCACCAGAGCCTTTCCCTTTTCTTTTGGGAAAGCTGTATGCTGCAGTTCAGCCAAAGAAACCTCTGGGGTGTGGCACCATGAAAGCTTCTAGCCCTTTGCACTCGGTTTGGATGTTCAGTTAGTAGAAAAAGATAAGAAGTTGGCTTCCCAGTCCTCTGTCTCATCACCTGCCTGCCTCTGCAGAAAGCTAACGCACCCAAAGCAGTTTAGAAACTATTTCAGACACCGGCCTAAAACTTGTGAGCAATTGCAGATGTTAGTAGATGCTTTCATGATGCTTCTGAGCTGAGAAAACAAATTGGTGCATCTGCCCCACTGTCGTCGACGTGTTAAACTGGCTTTTTACAGAACCAAATTGTGATGCACCTGGACAAGAAAGCGTATGTAAGGCTTTTGTTTTGGCATTTTTCAGTCTCATTCGTGCCCAGCAGAATCAGTGGATTTAAAAGGAAAAGAGGGGGGTTTTAATCCACTCTGCAGTGTAGCAAAGCTATGGAAGATAACATTTTTCAATTTCAGTGCTCTCTCTCTTAAAACCAACAGTTTTTCAACCTTGCTTTACATTTAAAAGGGCAGGAAGAATTAAATCCCAAAACATGGCTGATGAAATACGAGTTACGGGTTCTTCAGTTGTGTTCCCTTTGAGAACATTTACAGGGAGAGAAACTGCATTGTAGACTTTGGTCTCTGCTATTTTACTGCACTCCTTCATGTAGCTGGGATTGTCACTTCTGTCGGGTTAGTAACGAATATTCTCTGTATGGAAACCTGCCTTTAAAGTCCAGCAGTTTCACTGATTCAGGCAAGCAAAAATTCTGTCTAAATGCAAGTACCATGAGAGAAGGTTCACACTGGATCTCTTGTATGAATGATGTGTAACCTTTCCTTTGAATAACAGTTGTCCCTGTATTACTGGTGCCAATAATCAATAATGCCTTGAATTTTTCTATGTTTAATTAAATGTTTTGTCTGCCTATTTCAAGGGATAGTTACTTCTAATGCATTTAGTCTACTTATGGGAAGTTGGGTCCTCCTAAAGCCGGTTCTGTAGTAGAGGTTCGAGCAGTTCATTCCAGTTGATAGCTGTCATGTCCTCCTAGGTTAATTTTTTTAATGTGTCTTGAGGTGGTACCAAAGGGCCATTGGCCATATCACTACAATGAGGTTTTAAAGTTAAAATAAACATTAGAATACAACCTAGAACTTACGCTGCTTATTTAATTGTGATTCCAGCCCAAACTATACATGAACTTTTCTATAGTTTGTGCTTGCGTTTAGATCACAATTGTTCCCAGCTTTGTCTTGCTTGGGATAGGCGCGGGGTGAGTGCCCTGTGTTAGAATTTTTTTCCTTCCTCCAATGGAGGTGTTAGTAGGGATGGTCTGGTATTGTGTTTGCAGGTTGTGTGGGCTGTTATCTGTAGAGAAAGAAGACTCATCTTTATTTACTAAGATAAGATGTAGTTCTCAACTGATTGTAAAAACTGACTTCTGGCTTAATAGATCCGTTTCTGCTGTGGGTGGCAGAGCGCAGCTGATATTTTGGGGCTGGGCTAAATAAACTAGCTGCTGTTTGTTGACTGAAGCCATCGCAGCTGTGGGCTGAAAGCTGACTTCTCTTTTGTTTCATTGGAGCAGAGCTGTTAAAGGTCCAATTTCAGGATCTTAAGCAAGTAGCCCTAGCTCAGCTGGAGACCTTAAAGGTAGCTGGTGCTTAAATCGCTGACACACACACCGCGCCATGCCACTTCTGCAAAATCATTGTCATGGTGGAGCAGATCTCTGCAGCGGGTATTCACCCCTTACGCTAACAAACGGGAGTATTGCTTAATTCCCTAACTCGGGGCACTTTTCCCTGTGTTGTGGGGTGACTGCTTATGTTACTAACCTTCACCTCCCAGAGACAATAAAACTACTGAGAAACTGTGTTTCTGCTAGCAACAACCATTCAGAAATAATTGTTTCAATTTAGTAGACTTTATTTGAAAATACTACCAGAATATTTGGGAACATTCAGTACAGGTTTGTTAACACTGTGCTTTTAGACTGGGCTCTTCATAAAAGTATTAGTTGCTGGAGGCTTCCAGTCATTCACTTTTAAATATGCTAAAAATCTCTGCTTTTAAGTGGAAGGGTTGGTTTTCATTTCTTTGCACCTTATGGAAGTTCTTCCATCTTACTTTCAGTAGCCTGGCACGAAGTCGTTCCTTGGTGTTTTGCCGTTGCCACTGGGTACGTGACATTTCAGCAGTACCACCTTGGATCCAGTTCCCCACCACGCTCCAGCAAACACAGCACTGACTCTCCAGCTGTGGTTTCCATCCTCATTAACTTCCTGGTTTGGTTTCTCTGTGTGATACAAGGGCATCTGGATGTCCGGGTTGAACGGAATTTGAGTCGGTTCCGTTTCTGGTTGGAGAGGAGCGCAGCTGTCGGAGTGCTGATGGCAAAATGCTGTTCCCTTCCCCTGCATTCCTCCTAGCTACAGCTTCACGGGCCTCCTCTATTTCAGTGTATGTCTAAAAAAGCTTCACTGGATCCAGATAACCAAGCCCTAGGAAGGGGGCAGACTGTAGGTGTAGCACCTGTACTGCATCTGCGGTGGCAGCTTCAGAAAACACGAGGCTGGGGAGGCAGGAGCCCTTCCGCCCGTATTCCACGTCCATGCTCTGACTCAGCCCCCCTGGGAGTACCCGTCCGTCCTGGACTTTGCTCCTTTGAATTATTTGTGCTACCAGTGGCCACGTTAGCTCACCGAGCACAAGCACTGAGGCACTCGCCCATCGCAAGGGGTTCCGCACAAGGCTGGGAACGCCCGTGGCGTCTTCCCTGTGGAAATAAGGGGTCTCACCCTGCTTCCTTTGGAAAATGGCAAAACCCCTCCCGCCTCCAGCGGGAGCACGATTAGGCCCAGTAGTAGGATCTGAGGACCGTTTTGTACTGTAACAAAAATAGTCACTTCAGCCCTTCCTTTATGCTGTTTGTCTTAAATGTCCAATAAATTAGAAACTGCATTATATGTAGGGACAGGTGAAATCTGTTCCTGCTCCCCAAACAGCCATTCCCCAGTATCAGAGTATTGCATAAACTGTACAAAATCAAGTTGTGATTCTGCCTTCTTAGAAACTCTCGAGTATTTTCATTTAGTCAAAAATACCTATCCAGATTTTCTAAATAGAAGCTTGATATATTAAATATATATTTTTTTAATTTGTTGGTTTGAGTAGGGGTAGGCATTGTATGAAAACACTGGAGGGAGAGGAGTTCAAATGACAGTGAGCCAGCCCTGCCACCAAAGTCTGTATTCCCTTCCACATACCACCTGAGGGGAAAAAGAAAAAAAATAAGGATAGCTACAAGAAAGCAAATTAATTTTCCTTTTCATGACATCTAAGTACCTGTTAAAATGCATTTTTATTTCTCATTATGCAGGCTGAGCATTCTCTTTTTCTCATATATATATATACACATACATATATATATATATATATATATATATAATTTGAAGTGCTGTCTTAATTTAATGGGGTATAGCTGTAAATAAAGGTATCTGGGTAGTAGCTGTTTGGGGAGTCCTGTTTAGCTTTAGTAATTTATTGGCTATTGGGAGTCAAACGTGCAAAATCCTTTGTTAGGAAACTCAGATCTGATTTCTTGTTTTGTTTTGCAGCTGGACTTGTAAATACAAAAAAAAAAAAAAAAAAAATACAGGACTGATTTAATGTCCAATTTAAACTGGGCAGTTGCAAGCTCTCCCCATTTTTTTTATGTACCGTAGATGAGCGTGTGCGTCTGTGTTAACTGTAGTGGGGTTTTGTCTGACAAGCCTGAAATTTATACTTTGAAATAAACTAATGGGTTTTTAACATTTTGAGTGGTCTGTGCTTAGTTCCAGAGATCTCAGGAGACAGCTCTTTCACAGAGCCCTGTGCGTGCTCTTCCTCTTCAGAAGCATTGCCACCTTGCCCAAGTAACACTGAGCAGCAAGGGCTTGGCTCTAGGTCATTCCCAAAAAGTCAACTGCATGATGCTGCCCCCTCAGCCTTCTCACAGAAGCAAAAAAAGAAAGCAATGCTCTAACTTCTGGCAAGTCTCAGAGGGGCTGTGGAGCCTGGACAGACAGGATGGAGTGACTTGCACCCCAAAGCTGCCAGGGAGAGGGAAACCAGATTGCTGGTGCTACTCTCCCCTCCATCCAAGGAGCTGGGTTTGGTCTTTGAAAAAAATGGTCATTCTTTTAGCCAGAGGCTTCAGATGAAGTGCAGGAGATTACACTGGTTTGTCACAGCACCCTTAAGCAGTGGAGCCTGCAGCAGGGGTCTGGGCCTGCCCCATAGGCAAGCGGTTGTGCACACAGCTAAGGGCAGCAGTTGGGGGCAATGAAGTCAGGAGTAATAAAAAGGTGGTTTAGTGCAGGGATTAAGAAAGTCTCTGCCCCTCCACCCTGTTGCTTTTCAAGGATAGAAGCCCTGTATAGCACCATGAAATATGTTGAGAACCAATAAACTGCTTTACTAGTGAGCACTAGGGTGAAAACTGCCTCTTGCACACAGCTGCAGCAAAAAGTACTTAAAACTTGCAGTTACTGACACACCCACACTGAGATAGCGTATACAATTAATTAATTTGTGAGGGTAGTGAAGAGTTTCCAGGCACTTACAAAACTTGTTTCAAGTCACTGACCAAAAGAGGACGGACTCGTGTGATGTCTGAACACGATTACACTTGAAAGTCCCCAGTTTCTCAAACTGCCCACTTAGAATAAGAGTATACATACTGCACCTAGCTTAGACCATTCGTCTGATCATAAACTGTAACGTAAGCACTCTGCCCCAGCCCTGTTGTAAGCGGAGTTCGTGCTGCTGTAACGCAAAGTGAACATCCATGTTTTGCTTCAGGGTCGCGTTGCCCTACACCCAGTAGTGTGTGTGTCTGGAAAGACGCGTTACAACTTCACAAAGTGCAATCTCTGAAGACAACAGATACAGCTGCTATGTAGCAAGGAAACAAAATAAAAACACCCAAATCACACACAAAAAAAAAGGGGGGGGGGGGGGGGAAGGTGTAGAGCAGCAACGTGACACAGCAGTACAGCGCAGGGAGGAAGGCAGGTGGTTGCCCCCAGGCAGGGGTGGCTCCAGCCCCAGGGGCAGGAGGGGCTGCTGGCAGATCTCCCCCCAAGAGAGCTGAGGCCAGGCAGGGTCTGAGCAGCAGCACCACCGTGCTGAGCACCACCGTGCTGAACCAGGAGTGAGCTGGGGTGAGCCTGTTACTGCATTTCAGAAAAGGGGAACGGCCAAGGAAGCAGAAGCTTGCATTCAGTGGGGTAATTCTAGTGGTCTTGCTGGAAGGATTCACTTCGTCTCTAGGCACTCCCTAGTGACTGGGCAGCAGGTTTCTTTTTTTTATTATTATTATTGCAAAAAACATGTATCACAACCCACCCATCCCCCCACCAAGTCCCCCTTCAGCCAAACCGAAAAACCTGAAGATTAAAAGGCAGAAGCCACAGACCTTGGAAAAACCTGGAAGCAGGATGTGAAAAGGGGGGCAGGTTCAACCACAAATCCTCTGCTTAGAGCATACCTCCCCCTTTTTTCCCAGCCAGCCCTGCAGAGGGGAATAAGATGCTGAAAGAGACCTTTTAACTTTATGTAGCTCCTGAAAATTCGGCTGTCAGTTCTCTCACCCCTGCCTGTAGGTCCGTGCAGCCCTACTCAAAGCTTTCTCCTCGGGTCCCTGGCATCGTGGTGCTGGGGAGAGGAGTTGGACCCAGCTGCTGGGGTGGTTGTTGGCAGAGCAACCCGGGCTGGTCTGCTGACAAAAGGAAGCCCAGAGGACAGGACAGTATGAAGCAGGCAGTGAATTTTAACAGCGCAACTGTCAAAGGAAAAAATAATAGCCAGAGTCACATGGATTAAGAGTCCTAAAGCTCATAAGGTCCCACTCATAGTCCACATTTACTCATAGAAAAGGGCTCTTACAAGTGGAGCTCTGTTCTCCCACAATGCCAGGTACGAGCACTGAAGTGCTCCTGCCTGAGAGGAGGAGGAGGCTCAAGGTGGGAGAAAGGCAGGGCTCCCCTTCCCACGTGCATTTACACGGGGGCAGTGGCACCTGGTGCCACCTGCCTCCGCTCCCTGCAGGGAGAAGCGGCCAGGTGTGCCCCAGGTCAAGAACACCATCCACCACAGCCATCAACTGGCAATTTCCCAGTCCCTGGGGACCAGCTTTCAACTTTCCCATTAGTGTTTTTCTATATGATTGGGTGGAACGGCAGCAAATACCACCTGCAGTGTTGCTGCGTTGCCTGCAAGTGACAGCCCAGCAGCGAACAGCCATCCTCCTGCCACTCGGTGCTGCCAGTCTCAACAAGCAGCTGAATCTTGGTTCTCTGCTTGCTGTCAGCTCAGATCCCCTTACTGCCCTTCGTGGCCCAGCTCCCTTCCTTCTTTTAAGTGTGCTCCTTAACGCCTTTCACAGCCTGTTCAATTCAATTCCATCTGTGGCAGTGGCTCCGCAGCTGCCAGTCTCCAGTGCAAGAGTTTAAAACATATCCCTGTAGGCAGTGAGCAGCAGCAAACACCTGAGGGCTACACAAAAAAGTGTTTAGTTCATATTTGGTGCTTAGCCAATAAAAGCATCAGGATTGCTGCCCTGCAAGGCTGGAGCTGCAATCCGAGTCCCGGGGGGAGCTCACAAAGCTGCCCAAGCAGGCAGAGGTAAGCCGCCCCGGCCAGCAGGAAGGAGCCAGGCCTTTGCAGGCTCCGAGCAGAGGCCGCGCAGGGGGTGGAGGTTGCCCGCACTCGGGAGGTGCCGGGGCCGCCGCAGCGGTCGGGGCTGTTTGGCCCCGAGCGCGGCCGCTCGCGCACGGGTGGACACCGCGAGTCCCCAGTGCCACCGCCGCCCCCCGCACGGCGCAGGGCAGGGGGGTGGCCGGGGGGGTTGCAGAACACGACTGGGAAGCGGCCTGTGCACACAGAGCATGGGGCGAGGGCGAGCCACGCGGGCGCTGAGGTGCCTGCGGTCACCTTGGGCGACAGAGAACCGCGGGGGTAGGAGGAGAGGGAGGGGGGTGCCGAGTTTAAAGCTGTGACCAGGGCTGCCCCCTGCCATCCCTTTCGGCTCCCAGGAGGCACCAAGCAAACATGACACTCCCCCCGCTCCAGCGCAGGCAGAGCTGCAGCGGGCACTTGCACCGACGCACGCCCTTAGCACGTGGCTCTGCGTGGCTGGGGACCGCTGCTGAAAAATTCTGCTCAGCAAATTTTACCCAACCAAGAGCTGCAGGGCACAACAAAACCCAGCGCGGCGGCGAGTACTTCAGCAGTCAGTCAGTCATTTCACACAGTGCTCCCCCGCCCCTGCATCCCACCCACTCCCACCCCCCCGCACATGGCTCTCCCCACCCTCTCGCACTTACCTCCTCCTGCTCCAGCCCACGAATCACTGCATCCCTGCATGGATTTTTTTTGCCCTTGGCAAAAACTTTGCTGTGACTTCTGGTCTCCCTCTTCCCTTGGCAGAAATCAGCCCTGCTGTGACAGCCAGACGTTTAGGGTAGAACCTCACCCACCTCACCCGTGCTGCAGTGACTCCCTCCTCAAGGAAGGGAGCTAGACTCCAGGGCCTTGATCAAAACCTCTCTCTCCTCATTCTTCACCTTCCTAAGACAGGGCTGTGCTGTGCACTGCTTAATTTGGACCAGCAAGGCCATGAGGAAAGAGCTGTTTATTTTGTTTTACTTAATTACATATATAACATCCAGCACAAAACAGCCCAGTGACTCAACTCCTCAGTGTAAACACAGGTAACTAAGAGAAATACGTACGGCCCCTGCCCTCACAGCCATCTCACCATCACGGGCAAAGAGGTCACTGAACAACTGCGTGGGCCGACCAGTAAGAGACCCATCCCACAGACAGGCACAGCTGCTGCCCTGCAGCCTGGGGTGGGGAGGAGCACGGGGGTGGGGGGTGTTTCCAAAAGCAGCAGGTTGCTTTTAGAAACCACCCAGCACCATCCCTTCGCTACCTTTCGCAGGGTGCTTTGGTGACACAATGGCAGTTCCGCGACCATCACTGAGAGCCAGGCCCTGTAGACAACAGGCAACGCTGACCTGCCACGGAGAGCTCGGCCTTGACTCCCTCCACTAGTGACACTCCCGGACGAGAAGCACTTTGCAGCACGTCCCGCAGGCACTGCTCAGACAGAAGGCAGACATCCAGCCAGCACTGACAAGGCCACCGTGTCCCGCGGTGCTACTAGTGACGGGTCACTCTCACTGGGGGCATTGCAGTTCACTCCTGCGCTGGGCACCGCTGTGATGATGGCTCAGATCACGGGAAAGCAGTGCCCCGGTGCCACGCCTGCTCCCCATCGAGCCTCGTCAGAGGAAGGGCCCCCCCCAAACAGCTCCCAGGAGCAGAACGGGCACTGGGCTTCACCGGGGCGGCCACTGTCAGTCCAAAGTGCCTAGCGGGCGGGACAGGGGAAAGCAGGTAAGGCACAAAGATGTGGACATCCAGGTCGATTTATTACACGCGAGAATTAAAATTTCCATTAAAAAAAAAAAAAATCTCATCTGGGAATACTGATGCTGGTTTTACAGGATCGGCCTCATGGTGACGAAATGAAAGTTGTATGACTCTGGCAGGCCCTGGTGTCGCGTGTGGTTAAACCGTCTCCAGGTGAAGACAGGGAGACCACCCTGGACTGGGGGGCCATTGATTGCAGTGGCTGTGAACGCTGCAGCCAGGCGGAAATCTGACACCTGGAACAAAGGACGGGAGTTCAGGGGAAAAGGGGGTCTGGGGCGTTTGCCATGCAGCCACCCCACAGAGCGGGAGCAGCTCTGGGAGAGCGG